TTTCGAGGAACTACTCGGAAAGACATAGAGCAGAATGAGGATATTTAAATTATCCTTGATGTTCATAGCCCTCGAATGATACAGTGAGAAAAGAATTCAACACTTGAATACTTAAATTGATGATTCAAGTTTGACACTACCGATGAGGAGGAAAAGGATGATTGTCTCAAAAACTTAAACAAAAGTAACTGAGAATAGGGAATCCGAATTCAAGATCAAATTTAATTAATCATTTAATTGGTAGTTATTAGTTATTATGTATTATTGATCGAAATTAAACGGATCAGAGGTAATTGGGAGTGAGGAATCTGAATTCGAAATCGGTTGTTATTCTCTAGTTTTTAGTTAATTATCTATTAATAATAGTTTCTATCACAAAGATACAGTGAGAATATATAGATATTTTACTTTTTTCAATTGTATGAATAAATAATTCGGTCAGCGTTGGAAGCAGTAATTCTACGATAAACAACTGAGCAAGTTCGTAAACGAGCGTTACTTGTACCTTTCCATGAAATAGAGACTCAAACACTCTTCGAAAAAATCCAATGTATCGATTTGTACTTTCTAGAAGTTTCAAGAGAGAAAAGCCATTTTACTGCTGTTCAAACGGATGCCCTATAATAAATGAGCCTCTCAGCATTTTGACTATAACTTTTTTTTCTTTTTCATCTTTAGAGTCGATTCTTTTTCCAAAAGATGCGCCGTCAAATTCTTTACCAAATCATAATCAAATTTATTTTCATAGAAAGTTAAGAAAAAAAACTTAAACAAAGATTATCCAACACATAAAAAGTACTGAACTTTTAAAGGTTGGGGATGTCTCACAAATTGTCGGTGTTTCTATCTTGGTTTTTTTCGTCAAAGCACGTCTATTTTAAAAGCAACATGTGCCATAAGATCCAGTGTGAAAGGCTCTACAATTTACAAAAAATAATTTATTTTATATATCTGTACCTTTTGCTCTTAAAGTAAGCAAAATTTTGTGTGATCAACAACCGATCTTGGTCGCAGCGTCGAAAATTGGTCGCACAAAATTTTGCTTACTTTAAAAACAAAAGGTACAGATATATTAAATAAATTATTCTTTGTAAATTGTAGAGCCTTTCATACTGCATCTTATGGCAGATGTTGCTTTTAAAATAGACGTGCTTTGACGAAAAAACCCAAGATAGAAACATCGACAATTTGTGAGACATTCCCAACCTTTGAAAGTTCAGTACTTTTTATGTGTTGGATAATCTGAGTGATATCGGATTTCTAAACTGAGTTCTGACTTTGCCATTTTCTCATTTTTCAGCTGATTTATGTTTGTCAAATGTAAAAAGATTAGCGTTCGGTTGAGATTGTAATGATTTGAAAGAATTGTTCTTCGTATTTCCAAATTTAAACGACTTAGCCATTAATCATTATCATCTTTATGAAAACTTCACCGATTATTTATTTAAGAATGGTGCCGATAAGGAACTTTTACAATTAAAATATTTACGTCCCATCACAATATACGATGATAACACATGGGAATGTGTAGAGAGAGATGGAGATAGGATATTCGAAAAACGATTTGTTAAACACTGTCCAAGAATAAATCTTCGTTGGAATTGTCCTAGTTATGATGATCATGATGAAGACGGCGACGAAGAAGAAGAAGGAGAAGAAAACGAAGAGGAAAATGAGAAAAACGAATTAGAAGACGGCAACGGCGATGACGAAGAAGAAAACGCCGGTGGAAAGAAGAAAAAAGAACAAGAAGGAGGAAAAAGCGATGGCAACAGATCTGTAACCACTCATCGAAAGTCTCTTCGTAAAATGACTACTCATCAATAAAAGTTTTGTGTAGCAGTTACTCGCAGATTACGTTGAGACATATGAGCAGTAATATCAAGTCGATTGATCACTACCCAATTAACTCCAATGTTCCCACAATATGAGTATCAATGCAAAAGTTCGATCAAATTAGAACGTCTCACCATAAATACATAGAAGAATAAGGAAAGTTCAAAAATTGTCTTATATCCGCTAAGAAATTTCAAAATTGAATCGAATATCTGCTAGAGAACGTTATTTATCACACTTTTCTTCTACATTTCTACAAAGGTTTAGCTGAACATGTTGCTTTGTTGATCAGATATAATCAAAACAGTTTCCATCGGTCCCATCAAGAAATGCTCTAAATAGATACATAGTCCTAAATTATAGCGTCTATGGGAATTGTGTCCAAAATTAGAACAGATTTATACAAAATCTATGTAAATCATTTTTGTCTAACGTAATTTCATCTGTCTCCTATCCAATCTCAAAATAGACCCTTCGAGTCCTAAAAGAAAATTTATTCAGATCAATTTTCTCTATAACATATTAGGAGTCCAGTCAAATTTGACAAAGTTCCTGAAAGTAATTTTGTTTGGTTTTAAAACCGAATAATCAGTTAAACAGAGTTCAGTAAGTTGCCATTAACTATAAATCAATATAAACAGAAAATTTCGGATTCATTTAGAATTTATGATGCATAAGAACCTTTTTTAAAAAAAACTATTCAGACGCATATTCGTTTCAATTAAGGATCAGCTGTAAATGGTGATGGAGACAGAATTATTAATAATGCTGAGACGGTGTCTACTACTTAGCTATAGCGTTTTAACAGGAAGCTCAACTTTCAAGTATACATATATATATATTTTTTTTTGATCTCTCATATTCGATGTACTATAGACTTTCAGAATTGAGGAAGAGTTATAATAGTCGACCAGAGCTAAGCTTAATTGTTTCATTACCAAAAAAATGGTACTTTTTAAATTTATTAATGTTAATATTTACCGATTATATGAATAAACAGTTCAATAGAATTCAAATGCGACTATCAATCATTAATATTTACTACTTAATAAGGAAATACAAGGGTGGAAAAGAGAAATATTCTTTAGGTTTAACTTTCATTTTAACATTGATATTAAACTTAAAGTTTCAAGTGCAGTCTACACAGTTATTTAAGCTATAATGATCAATTATAATTGAAGATAATCAACAGACACTACCATTTTAGAACGAAGGGATTAATAGACATGATACATCAATTTCAATCTTCGCATTCAACTCTTTTGGTGTCAATCGTGCTCGGTTGTACTGAAGAGTGTTAGCCGATTTTTTTATATTACAAGTTTTCAATGCCGGAAAAAGTTCGCACCTGTAATCTCTTTACTATATCGTTGTTGAATAGCTAACAGTTTTTTTATCAAGAGAAGATCCCATAGGAAACGTTTTCTAACAGTTTGTTAGAATTGATTAGACAGTCTGATTGATGATTGAATGGTGATAATTAGAGTCAGACTTCATTTCGATCTGATCAGATTATGAAAAGAATAGTTGACTTGAAGGTGAGATCGTCTAGACTACGAAAAACAATTTTCAATTTTCAATCTTGAATCGAATCTCTTTTCTGATTAATTTCCAGATGCAAACAGCATTTTAGATGTCTTTTATATTTACAGGTCCAATAGGAGAACGTGAGAAAGCTTATTAGAACAAGAAGTAATATATCGGACCTTCTCTTCTACTTGATCAACTTTTCTTTATTGAAATCGTGCAAAGATTAATAGGGAATACATTGTCTTTTCAATGGTCTTACAGAAGTCTCAGATTGTGTACATATGAAAAGAAAGACAAACAAAAGAAAATTCTATCACACAATCTTGTTCTGTCACCTGTAAAATATCAATGAAACAACAAGAATAAAAAGAGATCAAGGATATATCCTTTACTTCTAAATATCAATTGACAAAAACAAAAAATAAAAAAAGAGTTGGAAATTTAATTATCTAAAGAAAAAAGAAGAAGAGAAATGTGTTCTCACTATATGATAGTGTTCGACTTGGATCACAAAATGAATTTTTGAGCTCAATGATGGATCAACAAAATTTCATCGACGTCAGATAATTGTGTCAATTGAATGTGAAAGATCTCAAATAATAAAAGATATTTCCTTCTTTATCATTATCTTGGTGCACTTTCATCAACTGAACACCAGACAACTTCGACATAATAATCTCTGACCAAATTAGAAAAACGAAAGAAAATTATCGAATAATTGAAGAACATTACAATTTTATTATCAGTTTATTAGCTGAATCGAATATCTTCCCAGGCGAGCAAAAAATAAGGGGTGACGCTCGATATGACTAGTCTAAATTGTCTGTAGTACCCGTCTGGACTAGTCTAAAACGTCTGCACTACCGTTTGGACTAGTCTGAAACGATTTGCAGCCAGTCAGGACTAGTCGTCTTCACAAGCAACGTCTTGCATCTAAAATAGACTAGTTCAAAACATGCTCTAATCTTGTCATGGCAAGTCCGTTTTGTATGTACATACTGTCCAGACGTGTCAACTTGAAGACAAAAGCCAGAAGAAACGGAGGCAATAGGTGGATTCGAACATTCAAACCGACAATATTGGATACCTGACTAGTCTAAACTGTTTTCAATAGATAAGGCGGACTAGTATGAAAAGTAATCTATACTGGTCATGACTACTCGTTTTCGATAAAGTAATGCTAATTCTGGTCCAGGCAAGTCTATCCTTCCAAACAGTCTTTATTGCTTGGACTTAATCATTCGGATAATTCGTTCAGACTAGTTTGTATTGGGACTAGAACGATGTATCTAACGAGAGTTGGCTATTTATGTCCTTTTAAATTTTTACATTGTAATAACAATTAAGAATAATTTTATTTGAAAAATTAATTTTAATGCTTTGATATGAGAATATTATTTTATTTCAAGATAAAACCTTATGATTTGAATTTAAAAATGGATTTAAAGGGTAGAATCATAGTTCATTTTCAAATTTAAATAGGAAATATTTTAAATTAAGATAAACATAAACCATCAGATGAAAAGCAAGATCTTTTTTTGAAATATATATTATTATTTTGATTTTTATTTAAATTTTAACTGTTTTTTCCATTCAGATGTGTATTGACATGTAAAAGTTGATCACTAGATCATATGGCTCAATCGGGTAGACGACGAGTACGTAACACATGGTATGCATCTACGAATCTAACTTTCTGCACATATTTCTATCATTTAGACTAGTCTGAACTAGACCGCCACATTAGACTGAAACCTAATAGATGTCGCGTCATAGGCGCTCTGCCTTTTTTAATTTAAAATCTATTTTCGGACGGGGTGTCCAGACGGGGTTAAAGATTCCAAACCATTTTGGACTAGTCATGTAGTAGAACTTTTTGAGAAAAAGACTAGACATGACGCATAGTCACGACTAGAAAAATGACTAGTCTTTTTACCCGTCCTTTGCTCGCCTGAGTTCCTACTGATTTACTCATTGCTAGGTTAGCTTTGAAATATATCTCTAGGAAAAGATTTTCAGAGAATAAAAACAAACGACAAAACGTTATACTTATTGATCAAACATAAACATAGAAAAAAAGTTGACTAGAATTAGGAATATCTACTCTAGTTAATTTTAATATTGACATAGAATAAGTTGTCAGAAAATTAAAATGAATTCGTTAACCACATCGAAATAAATGTTCATTCGTCTCTTGTTCGACATTTGTAAGGATATCAATTTAATTTCTTAAATTGATTAAAATCATCTTTAATATATAGACTTAATGATATATCAATGTATTTTGTTAAACAAACCAGAGACATCTATAAGATCTAAAAAGAAAGAGGCGGATGAACAAACGGTTGCCTGACGGCGGCAACTAACGATCATTGAACAATTTTTTTTTTCATCTTTCGTTACTATAAGACGTCTTGCAAAAAAGAAAACAAGTCTTTCGTTTTTGAACATTGGCGTACAAACAATCATATAAAGTTGAAAAATAGCACGATAAACTGTTTTATTAGACAATTATATATTATCAGAGGAAATTTTAATCGAAATTTATTTAGATTTAATTCATCAATTTGACAAATAACCATAAAAATAGATAATAAAACAAACGATATATAATAAACGAATGAGTCTGTCAATGACTAGATCCATTATATTAACTTTCCATTGTTTCATCTAGATTTCTTTGGTGAAAGATGATCTAAAACTAATGTTGAAGTATAGAAGTAAAAATTTCATCTCTCCCTACTTAGAGCCTTTAGGGTCCAAAATTTTCGGACTCGGAACCAACACGATAGGCTTTACCCCGTAGAAAGGTGACCATGGGAGATGATTTACCAATACTTCGTTCCCGCATCACAGATCGTATGTCAATAGCGTCTCGTTACAATAACTATATGAATTATTTCCTTTTTGGATTTCTCGAAGATTGAGTGAAAGGGGATGCCGAAAAAATCTATTCCCAAATCGGATGCGACCATCTCTGTAAGGTAAGTAGCTATATCTTAAATAAATCTACCCTATTTGTAATACAATATGGATAAATTGTCATTATTCTAAGATTCGATAGATCGAGAATGAATTTTTGTTTTCTAGCACGGCTACTCTTAATAGACAAAATTCAATCTCTATGAGTCATTTTCGAGAATATCAATTTTTATCTCTCAAAAAAAAAATTCTCTTAAATGATATTGATCGATCTTTTTCTGTATTTGATAAATTCGAGTTGATATATCTTCTATCTCTTATGTTTCATATTATCAGAATTATGATAACAACCATTCGATATAACCCATTATATACTACCACTAGATGAAACTCTACAGGAAATAAACAAAATAGTGAAAACAAAAATATTTTTCAAGTAGAAAATGGCGAAAATTGACTGTTTTTGTTGAGGAGGGAAGCTTAAAGAGATTTTTCGGTAAAATATACAAACATTTATTTCATATACTAACAAGCTAATAACTACTTGACAGTGCAAATACAAGTTTGACGTGTTTGATTGTGCCGATAATGGTCTGCATAGAATGACTTATAAAAGAAAATTATTGAATAAATCACTAATGACGTGAGGTTTTTATTGATTTTCCTCTAACTTATATCATTTTTTAGATAATAAATCAATTTAATGGATTATCTATTTAAACATACTTACAAGATCTATTGCATAAATAAACACACGTTTTTTTTTGTCTTCTCCACGTTTTGTTAATATTTAAATTAAATGAAAAAATAATTTTTAAATATTTTCATATAAGATTTGCTGATTGTATTTTATTAAAGTTCTATGTATTGTGTAGTAGATTTCAATAAAAATAAGATTAATCAATAAAATATGTATGTATAACTGAGTAATCTCTCATATATTCTAATGTCTCGTTCATTGATTTTATTTTTCTAATTAATCGAGAGTCTTTATGGATTTTTTTTCTTTTCTCTCATGAAAATCATTTAATACTTTATCATATAGTCACATTGAATAGATTTATTTAAAATGAAAAGAAAAAACTCGAGATCTATTAGACTGTTTCCAATGACATAATAATAATAATCGATGAAAATATTTATATTCAATTAAGTTGATATAGACAACCAATATTCATTTTATTTGGTAGAATTGCTGTTTTATTCAATCAAACATTATTTAATCGTCAAAAATTATTAAGAAAATCTTCATCTAGACTTTATTTACGAGCTTTATCATTCAATAATCCTCTTGTATTATATATTATTATATTAACAGAATGGGTTAATGATCAATTTCATATTGATCCAACTATGAAATATTGATGGTATTGTAAAATTCTAACATATATAACCGATTGCCTATATGGTATATCACCTTATTCTATTGTTTTTGTTTTCATTGATCATCTTATGTCAAACATGAAAATAAAGTTCTTTACGAGATATTCCTACTCGAGGTATAACTCGTAAAATAATAATAATAATAATAATAACAATTATTCGAATATATCTTGTTTATTTTCATATTCTATTTCAATATAATATAATTGATTCAATATGTAATCCGTTTAATATATTGTTATTATCATTTTGTTAGTTATTTCCTTTTAGGTTTTTATTGTCGTTTTACCATCTATATTAATGTCGATATTTTCTAGTTGGACATTAATATAATAAGATCGTCATCATCAAAAACAAGAAAAAAAACTATCAATTAAGAATAAAATAACCATATAAACGTCGTTATAATCGTCATTATCAATAAATAGATCATTGATAAAGGACAATAAGATAGTTACTATGAATATTTTCTTTTCTTTCACACAGTTTTCAGCAACGTTTCGAAGCGTACGAGGGAATTATAGATGGAAGTGGTCGAGTTTTTTTCAGACCGATACCGGTACGTATGGATAGATTTGGACCAGTCAGATTGGTAGACCGATCGATTCGAAATCCAGATCGGTATCGGACTGGATCTGCCGATAACCGGTACTGGTTCCATCTATGGAGGGAAACTCTCCAGGTGCCAAATTGCTTTTCAACAGAGATAATCTTTATTTGATGAGTACTATTGAGCGATAGAAAAGTCTAGAATGATTTGCTTTTTTGGGCCTTCGTTCGTTAAGATATCGAAATTTGACTGGGTTTTTGTCAAAAAACAGTGCTGGTCTCTCTCAGATAGAACTCATCGCGTCCAACAATTTCTGGAGCCGAATCTGGTTGAAAGAAAATTGTCAGAGGCGGCGGATCCGATGATTTATACCCTCAGGTAACATAGAAATTCAACTTTTGAGTTTTGACTTCAAACTTGACATGAACTAAATTCTTAATGAGATTAGCTCATTGAGTAAGTTTTAACTTTTCTAGTATTTCGTTTTCTGAAGATGTACAAAATTTGCTTTTACACAACGATGGAGTTGCGAATATTCAATATCTCGAGATAGAAACTAGTAGAAAAGTTCCAACGTGCTCAATGAACTAGTCTCATTGAGAAGTTTGTTTGTGAAAAGTGTCAAGTCGAAAGTTGATTTTCCATGTTAGATGAGGGTAAGCATAGATTTTGGTTAGAGAATGGCGTAAAATTCCTATATCTCAAGAATGAAGGTCCGTAAGAGTAAATCATTCTAGACTTCTCTAATACTCACTACCACTCAACAAGTAAAGATCGTCTCCGCCGAAAAATGATTTCACATCTGTAGAGGTTTATTCGTTAGTGTTGTTTTGAAAAGTATTTGTTAAATAGAAAATGAACTTGATCAATCAGTTGAATATGAATATAGTCTTGAAATAATCTAAAATTATGCTATGTGAGTATATTGTTATTTTAGAAGAGCAGTTCTATCAGATTTTCGGATGGCATTTCTATTAAAATTCATTTCTTTGTTTTTACTATTTTCTGCTTATTAACGTACAAAGTATTTTAAAAACAAACATTCCACCTTAGGTTATGTTTTCTTGTTTTACTAAATGTGTGTTTATTCATTTCTGTTTCTAATATATTTATTCAATAAAAAATGAAGCAATATATTGAAACAACCAGTCCTTTTCTAAAAGATTCTTTTTTATGCTGGACATTCAGGATAGGTGCGAGGTCGATGAAAACTCGACCGAAGGGGGGGGGGGGGGGGCAAAACAATGGAACTTTTACCTAGACGTTCATTATAAATGACTTCTACTGAAAATGCTTTTTTCTTTATGTAGGAACAAATATTATTTGTGCATAACTATCTCCTATTCTTATGTTACTTTATGTTAAGCAATATAATTCTGATTGTCAATTAATTATATTTATAAAATGTTCTGTACTTGTTTGTAATTTAAATAATTGTAGAACTTTTTATATTTATAGATTGGGAACTCCATTATATCGACATGAATTAATAGATTTAATTTAATCTTTTCGCAGACGTTTTATTCTGTGATTTGATTGAATTTATTTAAAAAAAAAATGAATAGAAATTCTAGTCAAGTTTTTCTTGTGGAAAAATAGAGAATAGATCGATTTTGAAATATTTCTCTATATAATTGATATAGGAATGTTTTTTCTTCTTCTTCTATTAGTACGTCTTTTGTTATATCTGATTTTTAAAAATATAAATAAAAAAAGTAACTCTGTAATTTCAGTTCGAAAAAAAATAAAATTTTTGAAAAGAAAAAGAAAACGATTCGAATTAATGAAAAAAAAGATAAAAGTCTATCGTTAATTATAATTACAATTCCAACAGTCAATTATAATATAATTGGTTTTAGATGATTTTATGCTTTCTACTTGTTTCCAAGAAATTTAATCAATTTTCAAAATATTGACAAGAAAATCGTGTTCTTAACATTATATAACCAAGATCTTTAATTTTTCAATTCTCTAGCTAAAAACAATTTCTGAAATCCATGGACAAGATTAACATAGATGAATTATCGTACTAGATTTTTGTAAGGTGTCGAAAATTGAAAATTTTAGCAAATTTTTCTTTTCAATTTATTTTGTGTCGTTGAGTAGAAATCATTGAGAAATCCATGAAAAACTACTTTTCCAATTTTTGGGAATAAAATTTTTCTGGAAATATTAGAAAAAAAAAAAGATTTAAAGTTTGTTTCAAAATTTAATTAAAAAAATCGAAGTTTCATTTTTCTTGAAAGTTTAACTTTTTATTTTATAAAAAGATTCAATTTTTCAAAATTTCTATGTTTTTGTTTTAATTTCCAAATCTTTCTTAAAAATAAAAAGTTAAATTTTAATTGAAGAAAAATGAAGTTCATTTTATATTGATATCGTTTATATTTTTGAAAAAACAATTCTATTCTCAAAAAAGATTCTTAACAGTTTAAACAAAAATTTTTGTTAAACCAATTGATTAAATAACATTCAAAACCACATCACTTAATTCAATTAATGTATCTTTACAATATATATCCGATAAATTGATCGTGACGAATTCTACTAATGTCATTGATTAGTTTAAATACTTGTTCATGCGTAAGATATCTTTTATATCAAATATGTACGAACGAGAACTTCTCAAAATTAGCTTAAAGCTTTCTGTTAGTCTTTACGTTTTTATGATTTTCATTAAACGAAACTCTGAATCCAATTCTAGTTTAGAACAGCTCTTGGAACCATGAAACTCGTTAATTGAGTAACACGATCTTTCTTCTAGTATAAGATTGAATAAGTGAGAGTTCGAAATAGTTTTGGCAAAAAAAAGTACAAGAACTAATTGTAATTATCTATCATAAAAGGAAAGAGTTCAAAAAGAAATTCACAAAATTCTAAATGTCAGAGACCTGAAAGTTCATAGTAATAGGCACAGTCAGAAAACTTTATAAAACGTATAAAAACATTGATTTTAATTGATGATTAATAGAAAACATCAGAGGCAATCATCGTCAACTTGTCAACTCATCTTATTCTTAGAATAGAATATTGTGAATCTTAGTATTAAATCATATCCAAGCTAAGAACTTTAGCGTGGCCTGACCTGCATGACAGGTCAAAAATTTTCTAATCTGATTAGGCCAGGCTAGCAGCTCTGAACTGTATCCGATTACACTATAGTTTCAAGACAACTCATGGCATCAGTCTGAATGAACTCGGACGATCTCAAGCAATATTCAAGAATTTGTTTGAAGATAACTGAATCTAATGGACACCACCATTATCTTTCAAATCCACTAGAAGAGATACTAAAATTAGATCTTAGCTAAAAATGTTAAATAGTGATAGTTATTTGTTTCTCACATTAAACCTTGATTATAATATTGTACTTTTCTATTTAATAAAAGTAATGATGAGAACAATATATTTTATTATGCCTTAATAATCATCTAGAATATCGTATATCTGAAACGATTAATGATTTTCGAATAGATTTTCAAAATGTTGTTTCTCTGACAAGAAAATGTTCATCTCACTTTCTATGTGAAAGTAAAAAAAAACTTATTTGATCAATTAACAATCGAAATAATGAAACATAAACAAAAAAAGAACATTTTGTTTTGAGAAATCTCACAAAAAAATACTATACGATCTATTTTCCATATTTAAATGAATTTCGGTTTGATTCTCACTGAAAAATCTAATAATTCTGAGTGAGATATTGATTATGTTATAGGTATCCAGAGAAAGGAATATCTTTCATACAAAATGAATTCAATCGATTAGTTTAATGCTAATATGGATTTATAAGAATTGACGGTTAAATTAAGCGAGTAGATTATTTTCTTTTTCATAGGTCTTCACTTATGATGATCGAATCTATTTATAGAAAAAAAAAAATTCTGAAATTGATTATATTTTTCTTTTTTCATATACTTATAGAATATTCCTCATGGAAAACGAATAGAATAAATAAACAACAACTATGAAACATTCGAAATATTACATTTCATCAATATTCCGAAACACGTCAAAACAGTTTCAATTCAATGTTATACTGACAATATCAAAGATGATGGTATTATGAATGTTATTCATTTTTTTATTTTACACTAACATAGAACATAGAACGAAAATAACATATAACACAATAGTCTTTTGTGCTCGGAATGATAAATTTCTTTTTTTCTCTTTATTCATAAAACATCTTTGAAATATCGATGATAAATGAAAGAAATTTTTAAAAATATTTCTTTTTTTTCTTTCTTCTTATGTCATAGAATTTTACTTTTTAAATATCGTCTCCAAAATGATAAAAAACCTGACAGTTCTCTATAGATGAGAGGAATTGAACAAGTTCAAATCAGTATATATCCTTTATAGGAATCAAATTTAAACGAATCTTTATATCTTTTTGTAGAAGATATATTTTAGTTTTATTTTAGAATCAGTAGTTTTTTTTCACTCTTGCTTGAATATTTTCTTTTCATGGTGAATTTTTATCTATAAAAACAGTAGATTAGTCATGGCTCGACGTCGAAAATTAGTTCGATAGTTGATGTTTCGCATTGTTTATTAGTTGATAATAAGAACTTGCAAAAAAAGTACTTTATGAGAAAATCGACTTTACTATTATACAAAAATCTACAAATAAATTTAAATTAAATAAAAGGAAACGTACAATTGCATGAGTGACCTAATTTTGTTTTTGTTTGGAAATCTGAAAAGAAAAAGACAATGTAATCAGAAAATTTTCTAACTTATTAGATGATACCGTAGAAAATAATCATTAGTTATTGCCTTTTTTTTTTCTTCAATTTTTCGAATCAAAAATTGATTATTGAATCAAAAAAAATTGTTTTTCATCTGGCTTATCTTGATGTAAGCGTCCGAAAAAAGTCAATTCATCAACTAGAGTTTCTATTAATAGAGACGTCTCGTTTAATTAAAACAACTGATTCATTGAACATACAAATATCCCTATTTTATCACTAGAATTTATCGGAACTATTTAAATGTTCACAAATATGAACATGATGTAGGGATCAATCTGGGGACCAGAATTTATAGTAAATTATAGACATTTTATACCCAAACTTCCAAACAGTTTCAATTTGGGTTAGATATCCAAAGTTGATTAACATTTCATGTTTCACTTTATGTTGGTTTCATACTTATATAAAAGGCACAAGCCCTTTTCTACTTGTTCTGTGGACAGGACAAACTATTTTGCATATATATATATATATGTTAATTGAAAAACGACCTAAACTCAAACTGTTTGGTGAGTTTGGATTAGGGGTGGACCATTTACATTAATTTTAAATTAAGTTTAAGTTTATCACTTAACACTTAATATTAAGTGTTAAGTGATAAACTTAATTAAGTGCATTAATTAAGTCCCGTTAAAAAAAATGTTCCACCCCTAGTTTGGATACCAAACTCATAAGACTAAACTAACCAAACCCAAACTGTTTGGGTTTGACACATGCCTATCTACCTTCTTCTAGCTACGCCATTAAAATTCTTCAGAAACAAAAAAAATTGTTTCACCGATAATATCAACGTTTTATTAGTGGATGTAAGCATTTTATAGCTTATAACATAAAAGAGAGGCAAAGAGAAAAAAGAAGTAGTTATCTATGAGTATTATCTTAAACACATAGATCTGTTCTATATAACAAATAGGAAACTAAAGCCAAAGACGAAATCTTGATACTTCAACATTTATTCGACCATTAGGAAAGCGAGTTTGGGCCATTAATCGATAAGGTTCAACTTTTTCGTAATGAATTTCCCCATAAATATCGATAAAGGTAAATTCTTTTAATTTCTCGACCAATTGAGAAAGATCTTGTTGAAAGACATTTACATGTTGAGCTAAAAGAAAAGAATAATATTATTAATCTACTTTGACGTGTAAAATAATTGTATTCGTATATATACCAATTGATTCGGGTGTTTGTAGAGACTTTAGCCATCGTAGAAGTGGATACACATTGGTAGATCTTATTCCTTTATCTGGTCGAACTTAAATGAAGAAAAAGACAATGAAAGAATATTAATCCGTAAAATATATGAGATTTTCAATAGAAAATAGTTTTCTGTTTCCTTATCGAAAAAAAAAGATCATTTCAATGAATCTTTTTAACCTTCATCTCGTTTTATATAAAATAATAATTTCATATTTTTGCTCAATTAAATAACTTTTATTGATGAGGTATTTTTTTTTTGTTTAGTAAAAAGTCCAATAAAATGTCAACTTTCTTATGTATAGTTTGAAAACAAAATTGATTTTAACATTCGAAATACATGTTTAAGAAAAGAAGTTGTTCTTTTGCAACTCATTTTGTTATTTGCTAAATTCAACAGCGCAAAAAACTATGTTGCAGACGAAACTTTCGTTCTTTTTATTTTTTTTCTAATCATTTTACTTTTTAATCAGACCATTTTGAAAACATTAACAATTTTATGGATACTTTCAAATGAAACTTTGTTTTATTTTTCTATTTCTCTTTTATACAAAAAAACATATAGCAGCGCCGCGAGGAACGAAATAGCTTTAACTTACTCAATGAGGAAGAATTTTTGAACCGTGTAAAATAATTGTTGCTCTAAAATTGACATGGATTATGGGTGAATGATGAAATAGGGTCTAATTTTACAAGGTTAAAAGATTTGATCACAGTTGAGTGAATAATATTTAGAAATATTATTCAAAATAATAAATCTATTTTTATCTATTTTGTTTTTTTCATAATATTAAAATCGATATTGAACATAATTAAGTGAATAAAGTAGAGAAACATCTCAATAGAATATTTGACAAAACAAATTATTTCGAGTTTATTAAAATAATAATCGATTGTTCAATGTTTCCATAATTAATCAACAAGAATGAATAAAATCTAATATCTATCATTAAGTTCAATTACAAAAGAGAAAATAAATTCATCCCAAAAACTAAAACGATTGTTTCAACTTTTGAAAAATTCTAAGAGAAAATAAATGTTTTAAAAGCATTCGATCTTACTTCTCAAGTATCGAGTAAATATCACATAATTATAAATCTTCTTCATTCAAACAAGAGAAAATCTCAATAGAATTTATAGAAAAAAGATTAGTTTTTCAATTAAGTTGACTGATACTTAACAATAATAATATCTATATGATAAATGAAAGATAAAATAAAAGTCAATATTAGGGAAAGAAAACATATCGTAGATAAATAATTGATTTAATTGTAACTAATTTTGTTGATTTAAAATAAACTTCCTAGATGTCCAAGGAAAATCATCTGATCGCCAAAGACGTAATGTTTGTAAATGAGGCATATATCTACTAAGAAAAGGCACAAGACGTTTACCAATATGATTTGCTTTGTTAAAACCATAATGACAACTCGGAAGACAAAATTCAGCATATAGAACAGTATCTAATGCATTCCTTCTTAATTCATCAAATGCCTAAATAGAAAAGGAAAATAAAAATAAGTAAATCATAATAATCTTGAAGAATTTATTCATCAAATAAAACTAATTCTATTAAAATGATTAAAAAAGATATTTTAGTAACGATCTACATAAAACAATTGTTATAAAATTTTGTTGCTTTATCTTATCTATAATCTTGCCTTTCCTTTCTAGCTCTCAAAATGATTACGTAGTAATAGAATAACGATATTATTCTAATATTAACCAACTATTTTCACCCGCTTTGACTAATCAGATCATTTTATATCTCATCTTTTAAAGTCTTTTCAAATCTTTATTTTTATTCTGGATTTACATTAGCATTTTCTTTATTTTATTTCGATAAATTAGAGTTAACGGTTGGTATTTCTTCTCTTTTTCTTCGAAAGATAAAATGATTCCATTTGTTTGTTCTTCATATTCAAATAGTAACTATAATTTCCTATGAAAAATTAATATACGAAATCATTTTTCTTGTTTTCTCTATTTTTTTCCAAAATGAACATTTTTATTTCAATTACAAAGTAAATAGACTAAATTTTTGATAAGGATCAAAAGTGTAATGACTATGACTGTACGTTACGAGTAGATTTTTTCTTCTCAAAATAATTGCTCTTTGAGTTATTTATTTAAATGATAGATTGACCAGTTTTCCTTAGGAATATATATAAAGAATGCAATGTAACAAAAACGTCATTTTTTCTTGAAATAAATCTCAACTCTTATTTGAATGCTAAAAGGCATCTTTACTTAAGCATATAACAAAAATAAAAAGAGAAGTAAAACTTTAAAAACATGTCTCGTCTATTTTGTTTTTATTTATTAAAAATTTCACATAGAAAATAAAGAAAAGAAAAGATTCTCTAATTCTAAAAGATAAAAGAAAAAATTGGCTCATACTTCTTTAACGTTTGATAAAAATCACGGCTAATCTTGACTAAACTTCAGCCAGCATCACTATGATTGTGCCTTTGAATTGTGAGGATAAGTGCAATCTCTAGGCTCAACACGAAATTCAAATTAGTCGAAGTTAACGTGATGGTTAATATTTCCCAACAGGAAATAAAAATCAAGTCTTTCGATTAAAATTAGATAGACCTCAATAAAATGTCTTTATCTTGAAAATAATTGAACAGTTTAATTATATAGGAAAATAAGATGAGATGCTTTTCAATATGCTGTGTAATTAGTGTAAGACCTCTACCTTCTTAAAAGAGATACTTCGAAAATATCACTTTTCTTTGAATGATGCAAAACAAAAACTATAAAATTGTTTTATATGGATATATTCAAATAAAATATATACATAAGAGAAATAAATTGAATAATTTAAACCAAAATAAAAAATGAAAGAAACATACGTATTGAACAACATGTAAGAGCCATTCGAATTGTTCAACTAGAAGATATTTCAGTTGTAGAGTCATTGAAATGAGATGAGCAAGTACTTTTTCACGTATTTTATTACGATCTATTGGCTCATCGACACGACCTGCACAAAAAATATTTAGTTTCGATATTATTTTCATAAGAATATTTGTTAAAACATGAAATAAATTTATTCTGATTGATATTTTTTTAAAATGAAAAGCTAGTTTTTTTAAAATCTATCTTTTAAATCATTCATATGAAACTAAAATATGAATAGATGAACACTTTTCTAATCGACAAGTCGTGGAACAAATATTAGACGGAGAAAAGTCACTTTTGTTTTTACACATAGTTCATATTTCAATTTTGAGTTAAGTACAGGTGACACAAAAGTTTATTTACCGAAGGAAAAATCGAATATATCCGGCATATATTGATCAGAGAGGCTGAGTTTTTTTTCCCACTAATAAATGAGTATTCATAGTTCATATTGATAAGAGAAATGTTGACAAAAACTTTTTTCAAGTATCATTGTTCACTTGATTAATGAAGAGTAACCTTACGGGAGTTATGAAAAATCGTATTACAATTTTTCTAAATAAAGGGTGTCCCATAATAACTGACGATAAATTATTTTTCATATTTTTCATACTTTTTCTTGATCTAGAGAGCTGAAATTTTTATCAG